TGTTTTAGTATACATATACAAAAGAATCAATTGTATAATCTGTGTTTGTATAAAACGAGAAAGAGAGAAAGACAAAAGAAAACTGGGAAGGGGAAGATATGTATTTGTATAATCATAAGTGTATAGGACGAAAATATATGTATTTGTATTTGCATATACAATTTTCTCTTGCTTTATACAAACACAAACACAATTTATACATTTGTCTTTGTATAAAGTGAGAGAGGCGAGTGAGAGTGGCGAGCGAGATTTGGGAGAGGGAGAGAGGGAACAAAAGATATGTATATATACAATTTTTCTCTCGCTTTATACAAACACAAACACATTTTTATACATTTTGTGTTTGTATAAAGTGAGAGAGGCGTAGGAGAGACTGCCAGCGAGAAACGAGAGTGGCGAGCGAGAAATTCAGGGAGAGAGGCAAAATGACAACAGTTTGCTACGGGTTACAATTAAATCAAACTGTGGTTATGACATTTAATTTGAATTAATAGTTTGCTATTTTATACAATTTTCCCTAAATTTATAGCCTAATTCTAAGAGCCCATTTGGATTAACTTAAGACATCATGGATTCGATTAGCTTTTAATTACTATTCCTTCTATCTCAATTTATGTTGCACTTTTCGAATTTCGAGATTCAAACAAATTTTTCATATAATTTTTAAATATTTTGAATTGTCAATTATTGTGACTCATAATACTTTTTACGTAGTTTATAAATATATAAATTTCATTTCAAAAAATTTAAAGATTCCATGCGCAAATTCCCTGTCAAACTTAAACTGTTTGATTTTCGAAAAACAAAAAGTGTCTGATAAATTGGGACAGGGGAAATATATGTATATCACATTTTGATACGTCCAAATGTCAAACTCAAATTTTGATTCATACCATTAAAAAAAAGGAAAACTTACATAAATATACTATATTAAAAAAAATATAACTTTAATATTAAGAGTATACACTAAAAAATATTTATCAAATTTCATCTTACTTACGATGATAATGATCTTGTAATAATATTTTAAATTGAAGTGACTGTTAATTTGAGTAAGAAATTGTGAAACAATATGAGTTCTCACGTGTGCACATGTGATTTGTTTTTTTTTAATAAACTCAAGCTAATTATTTTGAAAAAGATTAAATTATGTAATAAAACGACAAAATTACCAGCCGCCTAGCTAGAGGCTAGATTTGATTAGTCACTCAGTTAGCACTGACCAAAAAGATTAAATAATTAAAAAGTGTAACTGAATATGACTGGAAACCTAAATAAGCCAAAAAAATATAAAAGTGACCAAAATAAGCCACTACTTTAGGAAGTAACTAAAATAGGCTTAGTGGAAGAAAAAATTTCACTTTATCTAATATTCTAAACGTTTTCCGTTAGTCTTATAACGTGTATATTTTAATATATAACGGAATTATTTTCTACACTTTATAAAATGGAACTATTTCTTATAAAATGGAACTTTATAAAGTGGAACTTTTTCTTACACTTTATAAAGTG